CTATGTCAACCAGCAAGTAAACGTGAGCAGCAGGCCCTGGTGATGCGCTTAAAGACAAAGCCACACACTCACTCCACCATTCATTGACATCTCCACACGCTCGCACGCGCGCATCCCACACACACACACACACACACACACACACACAAATGCGCACACCCGCTGACCTCTGCGAGCGACATGTGCTCGTTCCAGATGGGCTGAATGGCGCCTTGATCCGTGACGAACGCGAGCCAGTACCTCTCGTGCCCATTCAGACCTCCAACAGCGGTCCACGCCCAGCCCTGCGCATTCACCTCCCTGCCACCACACACACACACACACACACACACACACACATACACACACAGGTACGTGATGTTCATGGACACAACGGCATGTGTCATAGAAACCAGTGAAAAGAAGCGCCAAAAATGATGTTACTCCACGCTACCGCACACAGCCATATGCGCACACCCAACCCTCTTTCTCGCCCACGTGCCCATTGTGTGCAAGACAACGTGTTTACCGCTGCCCCTGCGCATCGCCAAAGATGCCGGAAGGCGCCGGCGGTTGCGCGTCCACGGCTGCATATGCGACGGGCCGCACCAGCAGCTGTTGTCCTGGTGTGGAGCGGTGAGGTCACGCATGAAAACACGACGCACGCACACAACTGGGTTATCCGAAGCAAATGCACACATGTGTGTACGCACGTACAAACTTGCAGGCACACACACACACTTACACACACACACACACTTACACACACACACACACACAAACACACACACACACACACACACACACACACACACACACACACACACACACACACACACACACACACACACACACACACACACGCACGTGCGGACAGGGGTGAAGTCTCATTCCGCTCCAATTCAATGTGCAAAGTTGCACGGACCTTGACCGCTTGGGAGTGTGAGCGGGGTGTGTTGGAAATGCTCCACCAAATCAGATATGGATGAGAACATGCGATCAGGTGCATCCTTGCCGTCTGTTGCTGGTGTGGGAAGAAGTGCGAGACGCGGCGTTTGTTCACCCGCATCACCGCTGTTGTGTGAGTGCGTCCAGGTAAATGCGACGTGATGCGATGTTCCACGGGACCATACAGAGATCAGCACATCTGCACAGCACTGGTCCGACTGGCGAACAAGAAAGGTGCGATCCTCATGCCATTCGTGTACAGCTCGTGGGCATCCTGAAAGATACGACCCATAGGAGCATATTCTCGAGGAATATATTCACGAGGAATTTACCTGTGCAAACACCTTCCCAAACACAACCCGTCCCCACGCACGCACTCTACCAACACACACACACACACACACACACACACACACACGCACACACACACACACACACACACATACGCGCACACGCACCCCCAACTCATATGCACACACACACACACACACCTCGTTGGAGAGGCGGTTGTGCCACCAGGTTGCTGGGCGTTGTTGATCGGGGGCAAGTAGAACCTTGCGGAAGAACTCGGACCAGGCGTGCTGCTTCAGGTCACGAATGCACTGCTTTGGGTGCTCCAGCAGTCGAACTGGGTGTGGCACAGGCAGGCACACGTCAACCTGCACCAGCTTTCCACGCGGCACCTTAAAGCCGGTCTTCGTGCTGGCAAGCCCATCCGTCGCATGACTGTTGTGCGACCCGCTCTCTGCTTCGTGATTGGCACTGGCAAATGGGTTTGACGCGTGCAGCTCTGGTGCTAGGCACGCTCGGCGTGGCCGTACAGCCATCAAGCAGCTGTCGCTGAGGGACACGGCGTGCAACAACCACGAGACGAGGGTGGGCGAGCGGAGGGTGGGAGCGGAGAAGAGAGCAGAGGGAGCAGAGCAAGGTGAGAGGTGAGCAACGTCCGTTGTTTTTGTTTGGGCAAAGTCCTGAATATTTGCTGCTATCTTCATATAATTTTCAGCAAGCGCACGGACGATGATGTGGGTGCACTCATGTGCTGCTGGTGGCGCTGCGAGTGGCAATGTTGTGGTGCGGCGCATTGATGTCGAGCCGCTCGCTGCGGCCATCAGCAAGCTGGTCTTGGAGGTAGCGACAGCAGCATGCCACCCTACAACACTGTCTTTGCCCAGCACACGTAAGTTGCATGACGTAGGGACGCGTGTGGATGTGTGCGTGTGCGTCTGTGTCTGTATGTGTGTTTGCATGTGTGTCTGTGTGCGCATGCGTGTACGCGTGTGTGTTTGCATGTATGTTTGCATGTGTGTCTGTGTGCGCATGCGTGTACGCGTGTGTGTCCCTCCCTGCCTCTGCATCTCTATCTGTGTCTCTCTGTGTGTTCGTGGTCGCGCAGTCCCACCTTTGCTTGGTGACCACCTTGCACCCGCTTTTCTAACACGAGCTGTTGTTGGTTGACAACAGTGGAGACGTGCGTGGCTGTTGCAGTGTGCATGGACAACGGCGTGGAGTTGGTGGCGAGCGAGGTGGCAGTGATTGAGGCTGGACTGACGCTTGTGCCAGTCGCACCCGACTGCACGCTGGAGGAAGCTCGCCATCGCATCATCAACACTGTTCCTGTGGTCGCGGCCCTCGCTGATCTACAAGGCGCCACATCCGCACTGGCTGCGCTGTGCCAAGAGCACGGTATCCCGATCCTTCTTGTGGAAGAACAGTGCTCACGCGATACTGCTGCTGCTGCTAAGGACAGCGAAAAACAACGTGGCTGCACGTGGTCTCTCTCCCTCCAGCAGCCGCCATCTGCCGCAACACACGTGCACGTTTGCACACAAATAGCCACGATGCATGATCACGATGACAGTGGAATCAGCACCAGCACCAGCACATCACGTGGTGGGTGTGCTCATGGCCTGCAGAGGTTGGACAATCACGCGGTAAACGACGACGACAACGATGACGACGACGACGACAACCACCACCACCACCACCACCACCACCACCACCACGACGGCGACGACGAAGCTGATGTTAACCACGTGAGCCATATCTTCTTCACTTCCGGGAGTACGGGTTTGCCGAAAGCCTGCGCAGTGACACGCCGCACATTGCTCGAGGCTGTACATAACCAGCGCACGACATTCAACATCAGCGCCAACTCTGCTGTGTTCCTCGGCTCCACCATCACCTTCGACCCATCGCTCTGTGACATTTTCATGGCCCGCGCAGCCGACGCTACTGTCGCCGTGGCCCCGCGGCACCTCATGCTCACGTCGCTGCCGGAGTGCCTGCAGGCAACGCGTGCCACACACATCTGCACCACGCCAACCCTGCTGCAGTCCTACCCACGCGCGGCACTGTGTCCTGCAACGCTGCCAGCACTGCGCACAGTCGCGCTTGGTGGGGAGCCAATGGCGCCGCTGACGGCTGCGACGTGGGGCACGGCGCCAGCACAACACCGATGTCGGCTCTTCAACGTGTACGGCGTCACGGAGTGCTGCGGGTACCAGTCTGCGCTTGAGATTGAAAACCCTGCCTCAGGTGCTATTGCGCAGCAGGCCCCGGGTGAAAAGCAGCAGCAGCCACACCAACCGCACCAATCGCTGCCCGTGCACCGGTGTGTTGGAGGCGCGATGGGTACAGCACGGCTGCTGCTGGTCAAGAACCACAAGCACGTCAGCGCCAAGATCACAGCGTTGCTTAACGGTGATGATGGTAGCGGCAGCAGTCGTGGTCGTGGCGATGAAGGATGTCGTGGAGGTGAGGACGGTTACAGCGGAGATGAGAGTGATGGCAATGCGTGTAGCAGCAACAATGGTCATTCTGACGCTGTTCCAGCAGCACAGCGGCGCTGGCCCGTGCTGGCAAAGGAGTACGTTGAGGTGGTGTCGCCGTCAACACGTCATGCTGCAACTGGAGAAGTATGGGTTGTTGGAGGACAAATGGGTCTTGGATACATCGCAGCAGCAGCAGCAGCAGCAGCAGCAGCAACACACACACACACAACATAGTGGCCGCCCGTTTAGTCGCACCAATCGCTGCCCGTGCACCGGTGTGTTGGAGGCGCGATGGGTACAGCACGGCTGCTGCTGGTCAAGAACCACAAGCACGTCAGCGCCAAGATCACAGCGTTGCTTAACGGTGATGATGGTAGCGGCAGCAGTCGTGGTCGTGGCGATGAAGGATGTCGTGGAGGTGAGGACGGTTACAGCGGAGATGAGAGTGATGGCAATGCGTGTAGCAGCAACAATGGTCATTCTGACGCTGTTCCAGCAGCACAGCGGCGCTGGCCCGTGCTGGCAAAGGAGTACGTTGAGGTGGTGTCGCCGTCAACACGTCATGCTGCAACTGGAGAAGTATGGGTTGTTGGAGGACAAATGGGTCTTGGATACATCGCAGCAGCAGCAGCAGCAGCAGCAGCAGCAACAACAACAACAACAACAACAACAACATCATCACTATCAGCCACGCCAGGTACAGCGTTGAAGGGCCCTGCTCGCTTGTTACTGAAACCGCACGCGTCGTTCGTGTATGTGCGTGGGGTTGGCGCCGCCTACAGAACAGGCGACATTGCACGCACGTGTTCCAGCGACGACCAAGACAATGACGGTGACGAAGACCAGCATGGTGGTGGAAGACGTCTGGTGGACGGGAGGGCGAATGGCACCATCACCAACAGCAGCAGCAGTACCAGCACCACCAGCAGCAACAACAATAACCACGACAACCACAGCAGCAAAGATGCATCCGCCAGCAGCAGCAGCACCACCACCGCTGCCAGTGAGTGTGGGCGACTGCAGCTACTTGGCCGGGTGGACTGGCAGGTGAAGTTGCTTGGGCGACGTGTGGACCTGTGCGGGCTTGAATCGCAATACAAACAGCATTTGGCGCCAGCAGTGGATGCCGTGGCAATCACTGCCGCCAACCAGTGGCTGTTGTGCTGGGTCACACCAGCAAACGAGCACCACGTGGATACACATGTGTCCACGTGCCGGACTGACGGCGGTGGCGATGGGGTGGACACGTGCCCCCACGGCCTCCCGACAGCACCGCAACCCCGTCCTGGCGGCAACACAATGGCACTGCATGCAGGGCACGGCGGCACAGCGCAATCGTGTCGAAGGTGTGAGCTGCTGCGGTCAGCGTGTCTGTTTGTGTTGCGAGCACACATGCCCTCGTACCTTGTTCCCAGAACGATGACGTGCATTCGCACGTTTCCGACCACCTCATCAGGCAAGCTTGCACGCAAGCATCTCTGGCGTGCGCAATCCCGTCTTTACCCGGCGCTGTCACCATCACCATCCTCCACATCATCATCATCATCATCATCTCGACCTGATCAGGCTTGCATGACATCGGCTGCTGGTGTGGATACGCGGCTGGACACACCTCTGCAACAGCTGATTGCGGATGTGCTGAGTCAGCATTTACCTGTGCCGATGCAATCACCGCACGACACATTCGCACAGCTCGGGGGCGATTCCCTGCGCGCCGTTCGCGCCGTGCACGCGCTGCTGGCAGAGATCAACACCAGGCACCACAGCAACGGCAGTACCAGCACCACCACCACCACCAGCAGCAGCAGCAACAACAGCACGAGCGATGGGGGTGGTATTGGTACGTTTGCTGAACGCGCTGCCATTGCACCCGCTGTTGTGCTGACATCAACGATTGTGGAGCTGGAGCAAGCCGTGATTGCCGCATTCCCAGATATGGCTCCACTCAACGACTGCAATGACGATGACGATGCTGATGGTGGTGTTGATGGCGTGCAGGCGCACAGGGATTCGAGCGGAACAGGCAGCACAAACGGCAGCAGACACCACCCCACCCCCATGACCACTTCACTCAATGGTGCGCGGGAGCGTGAGACGCGGCGGCTGCTTGCTTGGGCTGCAGAGAGCAACGACACGGCCGTGATGCAGCTGCTGATACGTGCTGCGCATGGTGGCGCGACGCCTCTCATGCGCCGCAGGTGTTTGGCTGTCGCCTATGCCGTTGCTTGCAGGCACGGGAGCGATGGCGTGGTGCGCCTCCTCAACCCGCACGTGAGGTTGGCAGATGTGTGTGAGCACGGATGTACCCCGTTCACGAGCGGCCATACCACCAGCGCCAGCACAGCGAGTGGTACAGCCAGTGACATGAGCGCTGGCGACAGCACGAGTAACGGCAGCATGATGGCAAATGGTGCTGGCACGGACAGGCCAACACAGCAGCGCCCACTGCACCTGGCGTGCGGGTCGGGGAGTGAAGCAACAGTGCGGGCAGTGCTGTGCCATCCCGACACGCGCGGCGGCGATGATGCTGTGCGCAGGGACGGAGATGGGATGACTGCGGTGCACCATGCAGCGAGGGGTGGGGCAGGCACGCGGCTGCTGCAGCTGCTGCTGTCACAAGAGATGAGCAAGAAGGGCAAGGCGACAAGGCAAGCAGCGGCATCGCGCAACAAAGGCAGCAAGGCTACCAAAGGCGCACACCAGAAGCGCAGTGGTGGCACGTGCACTGTCGGGGACGTGTGTCTGCACATGCGAGACGCGTGGGGACGAACACCGCTGCACTGGGCGGTCGTGAACGGCCACCGCACGGCCGTGTGTGCACTGCTGGACCATGGGGCCGATGCAACAGCGCGCGACGCAGCTGACGAAACGCCACTCATGATTGCAGAGCGCCGGGCGCAGTGCAGGGCAGCGGACCGCGGTGGCCTCCGCCCATCTGTCTTTGGCGACATTGCCACCCTGCTTGGCGGCTCGGGCAAGACTGTCAAGCTTGCAAGCACCTGAGCTTGTGTGTGTGTGTGTGTGTGTGTGTGTGTGTGTGTGTGTGTGTGTGTGTGTGTGTGTGAATGCCGGGTACACTCGCCCACTTCTGCCCTGACTAAACGGTCTGTTTATTGTATTCGATCACAAAAGTAGTACACGGCGGTTGCTATTGTGTTGCCACGTGGCGTCGTCTCAGCCTCTTCTTCTGCCCCTCTGATGCCACGCCAGAAGCACCACCTTCATCGTCATCGTCACGTTGACCACTCTGCCCATACACTTCTCCACCATAACCGCCACCTTCATTGTCACGATCAGCACCGTTTCCACTACCGTCACCGCCACCATCACCAGCAGCGTCACCACTGCCACCATCAGCGCCATCGCCGCCGGTTTGGTGCTTCTCTTCGTGCGTGTGCTCGTAACTGAACCCGAATTCATTCACGCGGGATTTGTCCACGGGATACAACCTGCACGCAAACAGAGCAGGGCACAGCGGTGTCAGTTACAAGAGGATACAGTGGTGCTTATGCGTGCGCTGATTGTGTGTGTGTGTTTGTTTGTTTGTGTGTGTGTGTGTGTGTGTTTGTGTTCTGCTCATGTGCGGGTTTGTCTGTCTGTGTGTGGTTTCTGTAGTTTTGTTTCTTGTATGCACATGTGCGTGGATGCATGTACGTGTGTGCTCGCACGCGTGTGCGCACCAGCGCTGGTAGAGATAGACGATGAAGACGACGTCATCGCGCAGACAGGCGAGGCGGTGGGCGGTGGGCATGGCGATGATGAATGAAAACACATCGTCGATAAACGTGTTGAACGCCTGCCACGAAACAACACCAAAGGAAAACGGATCAAAACGCAGTCACGAGTGAGCATGGATGCAAGGGTGTGGGGTCACACAACGGCACAACAAGCCAAGCACATGAGACAAACGACTCCAAAACAACCCACACCTACGACAGTACGCATGCATCATGTGTGTGCACCATATGAGCACGACACGCAATGAATACAATGGTGGGTCTCACCTTGTACATGAGAGCACGCCAGGGCAGGTGCGCCACAGACTTGAGTTTGTAGTTGATGAACAGCTGCGGCGTCATGAAGATGAACCCAAACACATACACGCCTGCACGTGCGGATGTGTGTGTGTGTGTGTGCATATGTGTGTGTGCGTATGTGTCGTTAGAGGCACGTCGATGGAGGTATCATCCCTCGGTGCATTCGAGCATGAGAAAAACGTAAAGCATCAGCGGCTGATTGCAGTGCAGTTGTCGCCCTCACACAGCGGCACCTTTTGCGAGGGATGCAAGTGCCCAGCTGTACCAGCTCCTGTGGGGCGTGTACACGAGCGAGTACGCGGCAAACGCCAAGGCAATCGGCGCAAGGGCCTAAAACACGGACGCCAGCAAGCACACACACACGCGCGCGAGGAACGCCAAGAAGGCACAGACGTGACGCCCATGGGCGGATTGAGTGTGAATGCGAGCGTTCATGTGGTTGCTTGTTCATGTGCGTGTGTGTCTGTGTCTGTGTGTCTGTGTGTGTGTATGTGTGTGTGTGTGTGTCTGTGTGTGTGTGTGTGAGTTCCTATTGCATGTGTGTGTCTGTGTGTGAGTTCATGTTGCATGTGTGTGAGTTCCTGTTACATGTGTGTGTGTGTGTGTACAGAGGTGTGCGCAACTGACCCATCCGAGATATCGCATGGCCAGCGCGTCGTACTCGTCCGTCTTGAGCTCGAGCGATGGTTCAGACGAGTCATCAACGCTGCTGCTGCTGCCACTGCTGTCCGTGGTGTGGTGTCGCAGGACCTTCATCGCCTGCACAGTGGTTTTGTGTGAGGGGTGCGAGTGAGGGAAGTGAGGGAAGGGAACAAGGGGGCAAAGAAGCCCTACGTGCTTGTTGTGATGCAGGCACCACGCACGTTCCCCAGCACACCGAACATACGACCCACCACCACGAGTCGCACCTTCCAGCCCTCAACGAGGACCGAAAATCCGGTCACTCCCAGAATGATCATCGACGTCTGCGCATGTGTCAACCACACGACACGCACATGATGCACGCATGGTTGAGCGTCGTGTTGAATGCATCATTTGAACAACATCAAACACGTGCACACATGTCACGGAGCACACATGACCACACGTACACACGCAAGCGCGCATCTTGTACGTGCGTTTGTGTGCGTATGTGTGCGTGTGTGCGTATGTCTGTCTGTCTGTCTGTCTGTCTGTCTCTCTCTGTGTGTGTGTGTGTGTGTGCGCGTGTGTGTGCGTGCGTGCGTGTGTGTCTGTGTCTATGTGTGCGTGTGCGTGCGTGTCTTGTGGTCACACCTGCTGCGAATCAAGGAGGTAGAGAAAGATGATGACGGTGGAGGCAAACTGGAACATCACTGCGCGCCGCGACAGCCCAGCAAAGTGCTGATGCAGCAAGCACAAGTGCACGCACGGTGATGGTGAGTGAGGGCGAGTGATGACGAGTGATGGTGTTTGGCTTCAGCGATGCGAACGCCAAGTGGATGCACTGCCAATTCACACAACGCTGCTGTCACGAACCTTGCGCCCGCGCCAGAAGCCAATGTCGTTCTACAGGTGTGAATTGGAAAGAGAGCACGCAAAATGATGAGATGGATGCGATTTGAAAATAGGTGCTCATGCACGCCGGAATACACGCGCACGTACACTCACACACCCACACGCATGCGCATACACATACATTTACACATACACATGCATTTACACATACACATACACATACACGCACGCACACACGCACAGGCATACACGCATGCACACACGCACGCACACGCACACACACACGCATACATGCACAAACACACATACACACACGCACGCACGCATACATACACACAACCCCCCAAACTCTGCGACTGACCTTGAAGGCGAGGTAGTCGAAGATGAGGTGTAGGATGGTGATAGCATACGTGATGCCGAGCACAGAGAGGCTGTTGTTGAGGAACAGCGCCTTCACGTCATCAATGTCCTGTCGCCGACGACACGCAACAACAACAACAACAACAACAACAACAACAACAGCAGCAGCCCGAGTCGAAGAACAGCGCGTGGAAGGTGACGTGACAGGCGTTTGTGCATGGTTGAGCAGTGCATTTGGGTCGTTCTTCCAAGCAAGGCAAGCTCCCTGTATCACGTGTCAACGAAAACACTAAATGTGTTCCCTTCCCTCCCTCTCCATGTCATTCCCTTCTCTCCCTCTCCATCCCACAACCGCCTTCACATCCATGACTGCACCAACCTTGTCTGTGAAGCCGAGGGTGTGCCGGAGTTGCCCCAGTCCCTGATTGACTGTGATCACCAGCCGGTACAGCCCTATGCTCGTTGGCCGGAACGTAAAGGTGAACGTGGCGTTGCCTCGCTGCCCGCTCTCATCGCGCGTCACCGCATCGTCGAGTGGCTGGTACGGGGGGCGGCAGTGAGGCGAGGGAGGGGCATGTTGGTGAGGATGTGGGCAGATAAAGTGATACAGCTCAAGCGCACGCCGAGCCACAATCCTGCGACGCGAACAAGCAAACGCACACAAACGCACATACACACACGCACAAACAAAAACAAATACGGTGGCGAGCGAACACACCCGCCAGTCTCTGCGGGAGACGAGGAGGTCGGCAATGTCGACGACGGGGTGATATGTCTTGTATCGGACCAGCTTGAGCGGGACAGGAAGAACACGGATATCGTACGCCTGGACAAACACACACACACACACACACATAGGCATGCACGCACGATGCATGTCAGGGCGGTAACAATGGCACCATAGCCAGACCAGCATGCCTTATGCACATCAATCCACAACAACCACAACATGAACCCACGCCATCCCGCCGCCGCCGCCATCGATGCCACTGTCACTGTCGCCGCAACAAGCTGCACAATACGTACCGTGTCGTCCGGCACATACATGAGCGTGACGTGGTCGCGCAGGTGGTTCTGCGGCTGCAGGGGCGTGTGATCATCGCTCCTCGCGCTGCTGTCATCATCACCACCACCACGTGGTCCTTTTTGGCTTGTCGTGTGACTGGCACCATCACCAGCCCCTGTATCACCGCTTGTGTTGCCGGCGTCGTCTTCGCCGCTGAGGAGCAACTTCCCGCGTTCCAACGGCACGAGGTGTCGCGTCAGTGGCGAGCGCGCATACAGCACATTGTCCTTGTCATACCCCGGTGTTCCTGGCACAATGCTATGACCTGCAAGCAAGCAAACACATGTGCGAGCGTGAGTGAGTGTGTGTGTGTGTGTGTGTGTGTGTGTGGTGCGTGTGTGTGTGTGTGTGTGTGTGTGTGTGTGTGTGTGTGTGTGTGTGTGAGTATGTGTGCGTGTGTGCGTGTGCGTGTGTACGTGTGTGACTGCAGTAAACTGGAGGGTTGTGGGACCCATCACGGCGCGCAACAGCCAGTACTCACCAGCCTTGGTGATGAACACGTGCGAGTAGATGGTGGCGTTGTTGAATATGGCACGAGGAGGGCTGAACACAACGTCCCTGCAAGAACAAAAGCAAGTGGGCGGGACACAGCAGAGTGATGTGAGTGCAGGAGCTGCAAACACGCAAGGGTTGTGCATCGTGTGCGTGTGATGATGCATGGAGTGGAGTGCAAGTGGCAGCAAACAATGAAAATGTGCACTGCAGCAAGTGCTGTGATCCAGTGTGTGCTGGAAGCAAAATCGCTGACTGGCGCGCATGTGTGAAGCATGAACGTACTCGGAGAATCCGGCGTTTGGAGAAACGTTGGTGAAGCGAGCCACCGCCTTGTTGAGCCCATCCACGGTTGTCACCTTCTTCTTTGGCCCAGCGCTCACAAAAACCTGCCGGGACGGACAGCGAAAGAGAAAACGCACGCACATTCATCCAACACATACGTTGTTAGCGCAGATGTGGTGTGACACAGATGCATGTATCCACTCACTCGCACACGGTCACACACTCACTCACAGCTGCACACACACACACACACTCACTCACTCACAGCTGCGCACACACACACACACACACACACACACTCTCTCTCTCTCTCTCTCTCTCTCTCTCTCTCTCTCTCTCTCTCTCTCTCTCTCTCTCTCTCTCTCTCTCTCTCTCTCTCTCTCCCTCCAAAACCACACTGACGTAAATATCCAGGAGCTGGTCTTGGGCAAAGTGGGGCGTGACACAGTGGGCGTTGGGGCCACCACAGGGCTGCGGCACAACCACTTGATACAGCACGCTCGCCGTAAACGCGAGGTATGCCGCAATGGCGACCACCACCACCGCATACAACATCTCCGCTTCAACTTTGTCCTGCTGCTGGCTGGTCGTCTTGGTTGTTGGCGATTGGTGGGAATCGTTGGTTAATTTTCCACAAGGATGCAGCGTGCGGCGAGAACAACAGCGGCGGCAGTGGTGGTGGGTCGACAGCGTGGTGCTGTGGTGGCACGGCACATGTTCTCGCTACATGTCCACACCTCCTCGCAGCAGAGCAACGGCGGCGGACAAATGGCCACCACAACGTGCTTGGGATGTGCGCACCTGCGTGGGGCCTCTCTATCGTGGCAGGTTCGGCGCGGGCTGGCATCGCAGCGACCCCTGCACCAGCAACTTGCAACCTCACAGCGTGGGCTTGGGCCGCGTGCAAGCCTGACTTCTTCAACGCGGGCATCATCGCAGCTGCAGCAGCAGCTCGATCGCACCCTTTTGCACGCTTCTTCCGTCACTGCGCCACTTTCAGCGCAGCGTGAACAGTGCCACGAGCAGCAAGAGACTGGCGATGCAAGACACCATGCTGATCAACGTCGCGGGACAGCTCCATCCCCTGCACCGTTGACAACGGCATCGGACATGTCACGCAGGCAACTGAAGCGCGTTCGCAAGCAATTGAAACAACACGTAGAATCTGGGCAGTACGATCGTGTTGTGGCATTTGTGCGCGCCCTGGTGCGCTCCCTACTTGAAGGCGCTGGCCGTGGCGGGCACGCCCAAAACACAGCCACTGGCACAGCCGCCGACGCAGCCGCGCGCACAGGTGGCGGCAGCAACCATGGTACCGTCAATCGTGCTGACAGCTCCCATACTCCACGCCACCGGGTAGCACACAGCACAGAACAACAGAGGCAGCCGCGACAGCCGCGACAGCGAACCCTTGATGGCCCCTCGATGTGCATGGTGGTTGAGGCGATGACAGCGGCGCTAGATGTGCGGGAAGTGCTGGAACTGACAACGCAGCTGCGTGCAACCAACCACGCCTTCCCGCGCCAGGCGCCAGCGGTATTTATTGAACAGCTGATGCGCAAGCACTTTGCTCGCACTCCCCACGCCCACAACGACAATGTCTCGGATGACTACGACGATGATGGTGCTACAAGCCGGGATGGTCGTGACGACCAGACGATGCCCACGTCGCAACCTCCACACTCCCCAGACGGTGCCACAAACACCTTTTTCAGCCATCAGCACGATCAACAACAACAACAACAACAACAACAACAACAACAACAACAACAACAACAACAACAACAACAACAACAACAACAACAACAACAACAACACCAACAACAACACCAACAACAACAACAGCAGCAGCAGCAGCAGCAGCAGCAGCAGCAACAACACACAAGCGACTCACACCCGAGACCGCCATCGCCTCCTCCATCCCCGTCATCAGCTGCACCACAGCGCTGGACAAGGCACCCAATAACAGCAACAGCAGCAGCAGCACCTGCAATGCGGGGGCGCGATGCCGTGTCGCTGTTCCTCGAGTTCCGCCGCTTGACCGGCACCACGCTGAGCGCAGCGTTGGTTGATGAGGTTGGCCGGCGCCTGAGGCACGTAGTGCCGCCGGGTGTGCTGCGAGACGTGCTGCACGGCTTGGCCTGGGAACTGGCGAGGCGCGGGCTGCACATGCCGCCCCGGGCGTGGCACACGTACGTGGTCGCTGTGCGGCGGGCCGGCGACGTGGGCGACGTGGGCGACGTGCTTGACCTAGCAGAGCAGACGCGCGTGCGGCTGAACCGGCACCAGTACGCGCTGCTGCTGCAGTTGGCGAGCGGGTGCCGGCGAGAAGAGCTGGTGGAGCACGTCTTCCAGCACATGTGCGACAACGGGGTTGAGCCTGCGGTGTGGGCGTGGTCGGAGCGCATGCGCTGCTTTGCACTCAGGGGCGATGTGGCCAAAGTGGAGGGCATGATCCAGGAGATGAAGCGGCTGCGGCTGGTGCTGCTGCCGGCTGTGTTCCACCGCTTCTTGGAGGCGCACGTGCACGCCGGCGACTTGTCTGGTGCGGAGCAGGTGTACAACATCTTCGTGCGCACGGGCCACAAGGTGCACCCTGCGCTGCTGCTGCCGCTGCTGCGGGCGTACTTGGAGGAGCACCGGCCCGACGCCGCGCTGAGCGTGCTTGTTCGCATGCGCACGCATGCCCTCCACGTGCGCAGCAGCGACATTGACGCCATCATTGACATGTACACCGCCAACCGTGACGTTGCCGGCCTCCTCAAGGCCCGCGCTTTTCGTGACGCCATCAACAAGGCATAGGGTCATGTCGACCGTGTAGTGTGTTTGTGTGTGTTGAGAGTGTGCGCAGCTGTGTGTGTGTGTGTGTGTGTTTTGAGAGTGTGCGCAGCTGTGTGTGTGTGTGTGTGTGTGTGTGTGTGTTGAGAGTGTGCGTGTGTGTGTGTAGAGAGAGAGAGCGCGAGCTCGTGTCACATCACTCGACCTTGGGCCACACAAAACCACACGTGATTAAATGACCATCAAATCACATCAATCACCAGTCACGCTGACGACAGGATAAAAAGGTTGTTGTAGTCACCGTTTTTGCCTGCATGCACGAAAATTTTCCTCCCCAAAACCAAAAGACCACACCCGACCGAACAACGCGAAGCCAAACAGCCAAAACCAAAACCACGCCAAAACAACTCGCTCGCTCGCGAACTTTTCAGCAGGGTGCGGTCCAAAACACTTGTGCCAAACACAACCCTTCCGTCCTCGGCTGGCTCGCTGCTTGCGTCTTCCCGCACCCCACACACGCACACGCACACACGCACAAGCACGCATACGCAGCACAGTCCTGCCTTCTGCGCGTTCAAACACCCTTGCTGACATCTTCCACGAAGGAGAAGGCGGCGGCGCGGCAACAACGACCACCAAACAGCCACTGCACAGGTGAGAGCACGTTGCCAGTGACAGCCACTGGCCGCCAACCACGCTTGTTGGTGTACCGGCATCCGGCGTGCCCCCGATGTCTTGTCTGGCATCCCCTTTGATGTGCTGCATGCAGCTTTGGGTGGCTGGTGGGTATCAGCCTTCAAAGCAAACATGCCCCGTCAAGTCGTCAGTGTTTGCTGTACTGCCTTGTGTGTGTGTGTGTGTGTGTGTGTGTGTGTGTGTGTGTGTGTGTGTGTGTGTGTGTGTGGTGTGGAAAGTGTGATCGCTGCGTGACAAACATGTGTGTGCGCATGTGTAGCAGACGCGTGCGTGTGTGTGTGTGTGTGTGTGTGTGTGTGTGTGTGTGTGTGTGTGTGTGTGTGTGTGTGTGCGTGCGTGTGTGTCTGCAGTTGCGATCTGCACATGTGTGTTGTCAGTCTGTCAGTCATACGCCACCACCACCACCACCACAAACAACAGCAAGCACGCCTTGTCCTCCCACCCCCCCCCCCTTTGCGTTGCTTTGGGACTTCCATTTGCTCTGCCAGCGAGGCTTGCGTGTCTCCACATCTGTCTCGTGCCATCCTCTGGCAGCATCCTCCACCTTCTTCTCGCTCTTCTCCTCTGTCGCTGCCATCGCGTGCAATCACACTCCGCACCTACCTCCTTACTGCTTGCTCGCCCCCTCCCCCCTACACTCACCCCTCCACGCACATCCACGTACACGCACACGCACGCACACGCGCCCACACGCGCACGCCCAGGTGCTCGCTTGCTTGGCGACACCGTTGCCTGCCTCCACTTGCCTGGGCAGCCACAACCAAAACGGCAACGTGCTGCGACGTCGCCACACACTTCAAGGTGGCCGCAGTGGAATGCGACCCGCCGCCCGCGCGGGTCAGCACCACCCGTTGCATGTGTCTGTCGTTCGGACCCTCATCACAGCGCTGCTCCTGTCACTATGCTGGCAAGCGGCGTTGCTCCAGCCTGCAGCCTTCCTGGCTGCAGCTGACCCTTCATCAACAACCACAACAACAACAACAACCACAGGTGAGCCGCATCGCGTTGGCAGATCGTCCAGCTTGCCTGGCTGCTGAAATGCATGATAGCTGGCATGATCAC